GAAGGAAGGAAGGAAGGAAAGAAGGAAGTCAGAAAGGAAAACACTTGGTTGAGTTCTTGGTAATTTTAAGTAGCAAAGAGCACAAGCTTATACCCTTGGTGAGAGTCTGAACTACAGCTGTTCAATGTTATCAGGTGAAGGCAGATATATCTGTCTAATAGACAGTGAAGTTGAGATTATGGTTAACTTTTTTGGGGGGGAAATCTGAGGAAGCTAACAGAATGCTTGCGAGTGGGCCAAGGAATTCCCTTGAAAGCCAAGCCAAAGCCAAGGCACAGCTCAGAATTTTTTTCAATCTGATCCACCTTCCAAATGAATGATTATTAAATTGTTTTTTCAATTTTCTGGTGTGGAAATATTTCACAGAGAAGCAGCAGTCCAAAGATGCCAGGAAAGTGGCAGATAAACTTGGTTTTCCCACAGGAAGTCTCAGAGACATTGTTATACTAAACGCTTTGTCTCTACCAGCATTAGGATGTGTGCTGGGGCAAGTCAGTTCATGGGGTTGCAAGTATCAGGAAGGATATGAATACCAACATGAGCCTGTATTTTCCAACTAATCAGAATCCAAGGCAGACAGGTGAATGCCATGCTCTTCTCTCTCCTTCCTTGGCTCAGCAGCCATTTGTCTTCTCACCTTCCCTCAAGGACTGATTCCTCAGGTGAAGCTGCCAGGAAGAAACCATGTATTTGAAGCTCAACGGAGCAGTCTACAAAAAGCCTTACAGAAGGCCAATCATGGAGTGCTATGACAATTGTTAAGATTTTTGTCAAAATATTTCTGGTTCCTCTTCCTTTAGGATACAGGTAGAATTGTACTTACTGTCTTTGGCACACAACTCCCATCCCCCCTCCCTACCATTTAACTATTTCTAACCAATCAGTTCATTCCTGGGCTAGAACATCTTCATTGCTCCCTGCACAGTTTTTTTAATTCGGCTCAGGCACTGGCAATGACAGAAAAGGTGGCTTCTCATTTAGCCAGATTCGTATTGAGTATAATGAGCAAGTTCTCTCTTGCTTGCTTTCAATGGTCATGTAGCATGAGCAAGATAGAAGATTTTATTGTCCCAAGACACTGAGATGTTAGAGCCACTTATTAACACAACACAATTTTAACTATCCTGGCTCATTGTTTTAAAATAACTTGCATTTGATAAATTGCAAGACACTGATTTTCTTTCTTAAAGGTCATTTGTAGTAAGACATAGACTGAAGTAGAAGTAATGGTCGATAGAAGCAAATTGATCCCAAGTCCACAGACAGCACCCAGGATTTTCCACGGCATTAATCAGTTTGGAAAATGGAGAACTATTTCATCAATACATAATAGAATAGACAGTTACCCGCATGACAGTATTTGCATTAAATTCTATACCTTCAGCCATAGAAGCCGCAGGTTTTTCAGGAACTAAGATTTAGTCAAGAAACAAGTATGAACAAAATGATGTGGGCTGCTGAGTATTAAACATGCAAAGTTTAATACCTTAAACTTATGAGTAAAGAAAATAATGATGTGGGGTGATGCCCGAATCCTCACTGCTAATGTGAGATGAATTTTTGAGTGGGCAAAGGTTGCCCCTCTGGCGACCTGCCTACTTTGTGGGATGCCTCGGAGTGGTGGTCTGCCCATCCCCTTTTAAAACTGAAAGAGTAGACTGGTATGAAGGTAATAAAAGAGGTTGAGAAGGAAACAAACAAAAAACATGCGAAGTTTACATCTGTTACATAGCCAGCATGTACTGAATTGCCTGTAGCTAAAATTAAAACAAACATATTACCTCCCAGAGAAGACAAAGTGAATATTTGGTTATCTGGACTCAATCACAAGAATGAGGTAACTGTCTCAAGAAAGGAAGAAGGCTAATATGGCAGTGGCTCAAGCGAATCTCCACATATCTTGCAAATTTTACCATTATTGGCATTAGCCCACTCAAGTGTAGTATTTAATTCTAAATACACAAAGTATTTCAGAATGATGGCCTGAGGGTTTTCTTTCCTTTTCTTTTCATTTTTTTCTATTCTTCCCCAAGACATGATGTTACAAATGCTCCTTTCAATAATTTGATAGACTCCAGCTCTGAGCCAGAGAGAGCATCTGTTAGAAAACATGGCAATATTCTTTCTATTTATAGCACTTTCAGTCCAAACCACCACAGTATCATTTCTGTTGTGAACACCCATCCCTTGAAAGCACAGAAATCACAATGATAAGCTTTTAGAAAAATGGAATTATGAAAATCACCCAACACTTCCCAGCAATGGGAAGTAATTCCCTCTGTTCCTAAGTCCAGAGACTATTCTTCATAAATAGTTCTGTAGAGTTGGTTCCCATCATGGCTCGACCAAAGTGGGAGACTAAAACATCTGGCCAGAAATGAAATTAGGAACACATAGGAGCACTGCATTTAGAGAACATTTTAAGACCAGAGAAATTATTGACTGAACCTAAACCATTAAGTCTTCCACCTCAAAAGATTAATAACTGACAACAAAGTTGATGTTCCAGAAATTAGCCTGACATATATGATAAGGACAGAAAACTAAACAAAAGACCATGCATGTTTCTAATCCTCTTAATGTTACTCAGCTGCCAGCAACCAATAACTTGGGGTGGACGAGAATCAGAAAAAAAAAAATTGGCTTTTTTGCTTTTTCATAACTTGAATGAATTTCCGTATTCATGAAGTTGATTTTTTCATCAATTACAGTTTAAGAACTTATGATGGCCAAGCTAGAAAGAGACAAAAATAAAATATATCTCCTTATTATCTAAGACTCCTGGATCACAGATAAGCTTATGAATATTTAGCAACTTCTGGATGATAGTGGGCTGCTTTGGTCAATACTCTCATCATGTGGACATCAAGGTGGCAACTCTGAGTACAGTTGCCACGTGCTATGGTGGCTTTCCTGGGAAGAGAATTCTGTCCATTCCACTGCACAGAAAATTAGGGGAGGAACTCTGAATGTTTGTAGTAAACAAAAGTGACTTCATAACATAGCTTAGGTAAAGAGAGGAAGAGACCAAGAAGTAAGGGGGCCTCGAATTATGAACCCAAATCAAAGGCCAAGAAGAAAAGTGAGTGAACATAGAGCTTGGATGACGCCCTTTTTTTTTTTTTTTTTTTAATGCGGACTCAAGGGATCTAGAAGGGGATGCAGGCTACAAGGTATAGTACTGTCCTAAATGATTCCCTGCTTTCACTCTCAACTATTATATCACCCTGGCCCCAAATACATTCTACACTCAGCAACCAAAGTAATCTCTTAAAAGTATACATTGTATCATATTACTTCTCAGCTGAAAATCCTCCAGTGACTTCCTACTAAAAACACAATGGAACTTACCTTATAATACTTTAGAATGTGGTGATTAATTTCACCCTCAGATATTAGTCCTCCCTCATTTCTTATTACTCCTTTCTTTGTTCATTATGCTCCCATTACAATGACTTCCTTTCCAATCCTGGAACACACTCAACTGGTCCCTTTCTTGGGCTGTTGTCCTTGATGTTCACTCTGGTAGCTGAGTGTCCCTCCAAATATTCACACTTACTGCTTCATCTTTTTTGTCAGTAATTTCTCAGCTCAAATCTTATCTCTTCAGAGATAACTCTCTGCAGGTTATGTGCCCCCGAGTCATTCTCTATTACATATATCTTTTTATTTTCTTGATCATAACTATCATTATGTTTAATTCTTATTTATTTATTGTTTTGCCTGTTTTAATCTGTCCACCCCAGGTCTAAAATGAAAGTCCTGTGACAGTAGAAAACCAGATTGCCTTTTACCATTACCCAGCTCATAAGCAAGGGCCTCTCACACCATAGATACACAATAATTTTTTGAATTAATCCAAACATCTTTTGCTCAAGTTGTGTTCAGGGAAAACTACTAAAATCTAGATCAGCATAAAATGAAGTTGGGAAATTAATGAAACAGCAAACCAAGGAAATAGGACATTTCATTAGGGAAAAGTAATTGTCTTTCTTGTTTCAGCATGGTTACATGTGAGATTTCCTGTTTCATGTTTTCCCTGTTTAAGAATCAAAAAATTAAATACATATAAGATAAAACAAATTGGCAGGGTTTTTTTTTAAACTGCCTTTGCAGTGAGTGACAAGCTGAAAAAAAAAAAAAAAAAAGATATTCTTATACCAAGCAGAATTCTAATTCAAACGTCACAACTCACATTTGTAAAGCATTTCCACTCTGCATTTTTTTAAGGGAGACTTACCAGCCTAGCCAGAAATGCCACTTATTCATTTAAGCAAATGGTATATGGTAATAGGATTGGGAGCAGAGAACTTGACGTTTGGGTACAGTGAGGCCACAGTTGGAGTCTCATTTAATTTCACCCAGAGTAAAAGCTCTTTGCCTTGGCCGTAGGCACAGCCCTTGAATCTTGGTTAGCTGTGTACAAAAGGTATCTCCTTCTCACAAAGCAGGGATCATGCCAAGGAAGGCAGATGAGTCTCTAGTGATCCATCACACTGACACAGACAATTTATTTTGCTGATGAATTGGTAGCATATTCTGAGACAAAAGTCAGAATTTGTGTTTTGTTATTTGCAAAGACAAATAGATATTACTTTACACAGTAGTTACAGAGTTTTAAAAGAGTACACACTTTTGTAAATAACGCTGTCTTTTTAAAAGTGTTAAAGGAAACAATTACTTATAAGAAACTTTCAGGGAATTCTCTCCCAAAAGGAATAGATACTTTGTAAAATGAACAGGGTTGCTGAAAATGCTCCCTGACTGGGTCAGTTTGGCTCAGATATTAGGTGAGGGTGATCATACTGCAATCAGTCCCTGAAGCTAGATAGAAGTGAGAAAAACACATAACCTCAAAAGATGATCTTTTAGAAAATTGGTATGACTAGGTTCTATTACTGACATACACAAATATGTGAATGTAATTTGTGTAAGGTATGACTATGTGCCCTAAAGCTCTAAAGTTTACTTTGACTTCAACCATAGGTGAGGGTCCCTTTATCTTATGTCATGTGGTTAGAGGGCCCCATTTTGGCCTTCATCTGGGTACCCCCACCCCATAGGTGAGTGGTCTTAGAGCCCAAAGCTATGTGTCCATCCATAGCCCACATACCCCCTTCTAGAAAGTTCTAGAGGTTCCAGGGCATCTGAATTTCCAGTACAAATATCACTGAGATTGCTCCCCAGGCCTACATGGGTCTTTTCCCAAATCTGCCTTCCTGAAAGCAGACCAAGCTGTTGCTGGTGAATGCACCCCTCAACGTGGGGATATGGATCAAACATAGAAAGGCTGCCTGGAATGTGCTAATGTAAGGGCACAAGGCCCTTTGGATGTGCCCAAAGCAGAAGGTTGAAAAGAAAATGTCCATCAGTGTGGGCCTGGCATCTGGGATTGCACAGATTCTCTTTGTTCTTTGATGTTCTGATGAGGATCTAGCCTTCTCAATCTTAATTAGGATTTATGTGGAAAGTTAGAGTGTATCCTATGTAGCAGGTTCATAGCTTGTCATGACATGAAAATATTTAAACATGTAATATATGAACTTCCATTTGTATTCTTGCTTTGGGCCCTGCAAATGTTAGGAGGAGGACTATTAGAGTGTCCACTCTGTTTATTTTCTGTTTAGGACCGTATTAGACACTGAACGTTGAACGCATTTGGAGGTCTGACACCAGGTGGCTGTGTATCTCCCTGCACGTCTGGGACTCTGCACTCCAGTGTGTCCGGGCAGATGTAAATGAGGGCCGCTTCTGTGTCCTGCTCACCTTGGCCACATGTGAAAAATGCATGTGGCTGCCTGAAACAGATATGGTATGCAGAAAGTGATCTGGGGGACCCAAAGAAGACTGTGTGCTGGGGTAGATTATATTATTTTAAAAACTTACTTCTCCCTGGTAGAGTATTATATTTCCCCACATCGTTAAAATCAGACTTGGCCACAGGACTCCTTCTTGTCAATGAGATGAAAGTGGAAGTGATTTAAGCACTTTCTAACAGGAACTTTATGATCGACTTACTATTTGGTTCTAGGGTCTCTCTTTTCCTTCTACTCTGAGACTGGCCAAGTCTTTGATAAGAGCTGCTCGTTCAGACTTATATTCCAGACTTTCCTGGAATAAAGACTGGGACTTTGGATGATACTGCTACTGACCTTCAGTGAATATGCAGCCCCGGCAAGAAGTAAATCTTTGTTGTCAGAAGTCATTGTGATTTGGGCTTTTTGTTGTTGTCGTTACTGTAGCAAAATTTAACCCGTTAAAAGAAGTGAGTACAATGAAGATACACGAACTGTCTGAACTTGACCAGAGGCCACAGAGGTCATGGATGTCAGCAGTGGGTGCCAGTGCACAAGGAGAACCAGGATTAACGTGTCGTACAGGAGCAGAGAGCAGCCAGGGTGCAGGAGGGTGTGTGGGCGTGGGGGCCAAACAACTCTGACCTGATGCCTGGACCGTAAGTAAGGACCAGAGATGAGAAAACGCAAAGGGACCAGGTGTAAAAACCTTAACTGGGTCCAAATCCTGAACTGAAGTCATTTTAAAACTGGAGTGACTATCACCTTGAAGTGCTAAGAAATTTGCCAATAGCTGGAATCAAGGCTACAGAACTATATTAATTTTAATTTTTTAAG